GCAAGTGCTACGAGCAGAGGCTGAGGGAGCTGGGGTTGTTTAGCCTGGAGAAGAGGAGACTCAGGGGAGACCTTATCACCCTCTCCAACTCTCTGAAAGGAGGTTGTAGTCAGATAGGGGTTGGTCTCTTCTCCCACGTAACCAGCAGTAGGATAAGAGGGCACAGCTCTGCCAGGGGAGGTTTAGGTTGGATATTAGGAAGAGATTTTTTACTGGCAGAGTGATCAGACATTGCAATGGGCTGCCCAGGGAGGTGGTGGATTCACCATCCCTGGAGGTTTGCAAGCTGAGACTGGATGTGGCACAAGGTCTAGTAATCACGGTAGGGTTGGACTTGATGATCTTGGAGGTCTCTTCCAGGTTGGTTCTATGATTCTGTGATTTACCTGTGAGATCTGCAGGCACAGGTTCCTGTCTGGGTGTTTTTGCTCAACAGCTGAGCGAAGCTGTTCAGTGTTTACAGCTGTACTTCGAGTGGCTTAGTTGTTCTGATGCAAGACCTTTTTTGCACTCGCTGTAATTCCCTGGCTTCTGGTTCCTGCTGCAGGGCATGATCGGATTTCTCACCTCCTCACAGTTGGCAATGACTCTGCTTTGTTTTTTTTTTATTTGGTTTGTTGTCTTTTTTCCGTATTGTGCCTCTCCTCTTTCCTGAAATCTCTGTTCATCTTGTTTTGCTGAATCATCAGCACCAAAATATTCTTCACCCTTTAACTCAGGATTCACCTCTAATCCTCAGCTTCACTCAGCCCTACCCCATGTAATCCCCCACACCTCAGCTAAAATGCTGTGGCCTCACTAGCACAGTTTACAGGACATTTCCCATCATGGAGGCAAAAACCCCTTTAAAAAAAATTCTGATTAACATTTCCCAACCTGAAAGAAGTGAATCAGGTATCTCAGATTGTGGATCTGTCATTCTTCATGCAGAAAGGTACCTCTCTGGGCAGATGAGAGTTTAATTTCCTTACACCTTTCATTTCAAGAACATCTGGAAAATCTCCAGAATACAGAAGCTTGTGATAGAATTAGCTGCTGTGCCATGGAGCTTTGCCAGGGCCCAGGATGTCACAGACCTGGCAGTCTGAGGACTTCAGTTTCAGGAGTTAAACAAATTAGTTTTGAGTGGTCAAAATTTTTTCTTGTACAGTGTTTGTCTTTTTTTTTTTTATTTGCCAAATCTTTAAATTACAGTCCTGAAAAGGATCAACACAAATGGCTAATATTTAACAGCTTGTGAAATGCCCAGAGCTGTGCAGCTGCTGTTCATCTCCTGCTGGAATGGAGACTATTGATTTTTCTTGAAGATCTGGGGTTTGGTAGCTGATTTTGGGAGACAGAGGAAATAATCTTTGGCTTTGGGTAGAAATGAGGAGCAGCAAAATAAAACCTGAGTTGTCTGCTGGAAAAAGTGCCTCCCTGTTCATCAGGAGGCACATGCAGGGGGCAGATCTTTTTAAAAATAAATTAGGAATCAGTCCATGGCTTAATACTTGTCTCTGCCTGAAATAACAGCTCCCTTGTGTAAACCCTCTTTGCATTCTCCTGCTGATATTTAATAGCTGTATTTTGGTTAGGTTTTACAGTGTGTTGCTGTTAGGTGTTGCAGCAGTGTCAGGGCTGCTCAGCTCTTCAGTTTGCTGTGGAGTGTGTTCCAGAGGAGGCTGCAGTGTCATGCTGCTCTGGGATCTGCAAGACTAGAAACTTGAGCTCTGAGAGCTCATGGTGGCTCTCTGCTGTTCCCAGTGCTTGATGCTGTGAGGAGAGTTTGCCTAAACAGCTTTTGAAGTGCCAGCTCTTTCCTCTGGGATGTGTCTTTATGTTGACTGAGGTGCAGGCACAGAGGGGAAAACAAAGTGCATTTGTCTCATGAAATTCTGCCCTGAGATTATCCTTAGATGGTAACAGCACAAGGTTGTGGATTCAGGGGAAATTGCTGTGTTTTAGTATGAAAATACAGAGTGACCTGATGCCAATATCTGACACACTAATACTTTCCATCTGTTTTTTGATCACAGAATGGTTTGTGTTGAAGGGAGCTTAGAGGTCATTCAGTTCCACCCCCTGCCATGGACTGGGACACCTCCCACCAGCCCAGGGTGCTCCAAGCCCCATCCAACCTGGCCTGGAACACTCCCAGGGATGGAGCAGCCACAGCATCTCTGGGCAACCTGTGCCAGTGCCTCAGCACCTCACAGGGAAGATTTTCTTCCCCAGTATCCCTGCCCTGCCCTCTGGCAGTGAAGCCATTCCCCCTTGTCACTCCAGACCTTTGTTCAGAGTTCCTCTCCAGCTGTCTTGTAGCCCCTTTAGACACTGGAAGGTCTCCCTGGACCCTTCTCCTCTCCAGGCTGAAGAGAATGATGGTCTTAAAATGGCACTAAAGGTAGGACTCTATGGGCAGGTGGCAGCATTCTAAAATCCAGAATGCAATTCATATAAGAAGTCACAGATTGTGCTTGTTAAAGCTGATCTCAGGTAAGACTAATCAATCCTTTATCAAATTTGGTCGTGTTATCAGCTAAACATGATTTGTTATCAGCTAAACATGATTTGTGTCAGGTGCTTTTTCCTAGTATTACATTATTTACTTTCTGATAAGGTTGGGTTTATAGTAGAAGAAAAGGCATTTAAATAGCACAAGAAGTTTGATAAACTCAGCTTTGTTATTGTAGTTTGTCAGTAAATCTAGTCAGAATTTAAGGCAGAGTGAAAAAGGAACACTTACAGGAAGGATGATGTGGTTAGTTCATGGACTTGGTGAGTCACGGTTTAGTTTTCGTTCTGTTTCCATGAGTGTGCATGAAACTAGAAAAAAATACTTATTTGCCCACATGAATTTATACTTCATACAAGTACACATTAATTTAGAGTTCATATAAGCTTTCTTGGTTGAACTGCAAAAGAGTTGAGCAACCTGCAGTCCTGGCAGTAAACCCACTTCCCTCATGTCATGCATTTCTTCTGGAGTATTCTTAGTGCTAATTATTGACTTTCTTAATTTCCCCCCGACCAGATCCAGAACAGAACACCTGAAATCCATCATGTTTTCCAAGCTCAGCCACCCTCAGAGCCTTGCTGCTCTCTGCAGAGGTCTCCGTGCTTCGCTGAGTTCTGCTGCCTCAGTTGCTCCCAAAAAAACTGTCCAAGGGTCTCTCACCTCTGATCTGATCTTTGAACGGGAGGCTAAGTATGGTGCCCACAACTATCACCCACTGCCTGTGGCTCTGGAAAGAGGAAAAGGTACTTTATGGGGGTTTTAGGGGTGTGTCTGTGTAGGTGGGATTGGAGCTATTTCTGAACCTTCCTTGGGTTTGTTTTTTGGGGTGGGATTGAGGTAATTGATGACCTAAAGACAGCTAATTGCTGGTTAGAGAACTGGAGCATTATGCATAAGGCCACCTGGTAAAACTCTGGTCTCTCTGAAAGGCTTTATCTAAATAAAGGTCTTAAGTTCTGATAATCTTTGGAATAAGAGCAAGAAAACTTCCCAGCAACTGTTTCTCCTCTTGCCTCATGTGGAGAGGTTTAATGCTAGTGTGAACAGGAAAAGGTGCATGGGAACCATATTTGAGTTCTTGTGTACTGTTTCTCTCTTATTACTTAATTTAGATTTATTCTGGTCTTTAATTATGTTTCAGGGACATTTTTGGTTCTATGAGTTTAGTGCTCCAATAGTTTTTCTTTATCAGTACACATTTTTGACAGCTCAGAGCCACCAGTTCCTTCAGTTTTGAGATTATTTGCATTCTGTTGTTTTTGTTCTTTCTTTCATGACCTCCAGTTAATTCTCTCACAAATGTTTTCTCCTCTGTCTACATTTAAGGGCCTGAAAGAGACACTTGGAGGGGAAAAGATGTTCTGATACTACTTACTAACTCCATGGAATATCAGCTTTATACGGGAAATGCTTTTTTCTAGATTCCTTATTTATAGTTTGTTCCTCAGTATCTCCTGTCAGCTGATTATTAGTTAGAGGCCCCTTCAGGAATGCTCTCAGGAACAGGAAGAATACCCTTTAATTTGACCAGGTTGTGTTGTAGCCCTTAGTTTATACCATTCAATATTATCTCATGTCTTCTTTTCTTGTGTATATTGACCACACCTTTGTTTTCCCAGGTGTTTATGTGTGGGATGTTGAAGGTAGGAAGTATTTTGACTTCCTGAGTGCTTACAGTGCAGTTAACCAAGGCCACTGTCACCCAAAGATTGTGGATGCTCTGAAAGCTCAGTCTGAAAAACTGACCCTGACATCCAGGGCATTCTACAACGATGTCCTGGGGGAATATGAGGAGCTTGTCACCAAAATGTTCAATTACAACAAAGTTCTTCCAATGAACACAGGTAGAAAAATGATTCCATTTCCATTTTATTTCTTTGCTGTGAGATTCAATGTTCTTAGAACATTTGTTACTGCATCAATGGCCTGTCCCATGTACAGGAGGGGTAATGGTGCTGCTCTGTGTTTCAGGGGTGGAAGCTGGAGAAACTGCCTGCAAACTGGCTCGGAGATGGGCATACACTGTGAAAGGAGTTCCAAAATACAAAGCCAAAATCATTTTTGCAGGTATGTAAAGTGCAGTGAGTTGAGGCATTGAGGAGGAAGAGAGCTCTAGACACTGGATGGATGAGAAGCAGCCCTGAAGGCACCTGGAAAGCACATTCAGTCCTCCAAGCTCTTTTAACCCCTGAAAGTGCAGTGTGTCTCTATTCCAACTGGTTGTTTTTATATACCTTTCTGGTGAATTCATCCCTCAAACTGCTGCCACTCCTCTCACAGATTGCACAATAGGCTTAAAACTGCTTCCCTCTTAGGCTTCATCTACCAGTAGCTTTCTTCTGCATTCTTAAGGCTTTCAGAAACGGGCATCAACCCAGTAAAGCCATATTGGAGTCTTGACCATATAATGAAAGCAAAAGCAAAGTGCTAAAGTAAATGCCGGGTCCTGATTCTCTGCTGGAATACTTCCTTTACCTGCCTGCTCTGCTTGGCTCTGTGACAGGGACAAGTTACCTGTCCCTGAAGAGACTGTTGTGTTTATTTGCTAAATAAAAAATAAAACATCCCATATATAATGAAAAAAATCTTATATATTTAGTGCACTTTGGTTATAGAGAAAGTCTTTCTGGCAATGCTAATGTTGTTCAATGGTTCTTAAAACTTAAATATTACCAGTAAATATTACTAGTTATTACTATATTATTACTAAATATTGGTAAATTAGATATGATTGCTAAATTATTAGTAAATGTTGCTACTAAATATTATATATTAAATTTCTTTGGGGAATTCTTTGAGCAAATATATTTCTCCTTCCTTAATCTTCCTTAGTCTTATTAGCACCTTATTGATTAGCTGAGAGTCTATTGGTTTCACTGAAGTATTAAAATGAAGATATGATTGTCTTGGTAGTAGTTGGCTCCCAGACATTTTAACAGATGTTTCTTAGCAAAATAGTGCAACATTACAATATTTTTACCAATATAAACAGGTTCTCCTGCACTTTTAAAATGCACAGAAATATAATATTTTTAGGCTTACAGGCAGCTTTAGTTTTAGGACTTAAATGATAGATTATGTTTATTTTTCCCCCTATATTTAATAGGTAATATTTATGTAAAGGCTGAACATCTTCCATAAAAGTTATCTGAGTTATTTTCAGTTTTTCAGGCTCCTAACAAATGTAATGAGGTGATTTTGTGTACTTTCCAGGTCTTACAGTATAGTTTTCTCTTGTTTCTTGCTATGTGCTTTTGCTATAGCCACACAGTGTATTTCTGGCATCAAGACAAAATGCTAACAACTAGAAGGATGCTAATAGGCTAATTGTTAGATAACTCTTAAAATGCATTGCCAAGTGTGATGTCCTTTACACTGTTCTGGCTCTTGGTCAGTTTTGTAACCCTCTGGTTCTTTTTCAGCTGGCAACTTCTGGGGCAGAACAATGTCTGCTATCTCCAGCTCTACTGACCCATCCAGCTATGATGGGTTTGGACCCTTTATGCCAGGTTTTGAAGTGATTCCATACAATGACCTGCCAGCTCTTGAGGTATCTGACAGTTTGAAACATGTTCTTTGGCATTAAGATACATAAGAAAGATATATGTTATAATTGTGTACAGGAAAATATGTGTAAATTCTGCTGTGGTTTTGATTTTCAGTTTGACTGTAGGATGTGAAAGAAAAACCACATGATTTATTTCCTTTCCCATGTCACTAAGATGTTCAGGGTACAAATGAAGAAGGTACTGGGAAAAGCTGTAGTCAATTCATGCTGGGACTCACAATATCTCTTGTGTCTTGTGGACTTCTAAACATTTTAGAACTTGATAGTGCAAGAATGTACCTGTGGACTTTGCTTTAAGGTGACAAACTTGTTCTGGAGAGGCTCCATGCTTGTCTTGGTCAAGGGAAGAGTTGAGCAATTGTTTGTCTTGTATGGGGTAATGCAAAACTGAGGGTGTTTCTGAGGTAACTTGAGAACTGAGTTAATTATCTGTTTGGCTGGGTTTGCAATTTTTAAGCTTTGGACTTGCCCAAGCAAGCACACAGCTGATTTTCCAAGGCAGAGAGTGACATGAACTTCTGTGTTGGAACTGAAATGGCACTAAGGGATAAAACTGCCTGACATGAGTGCTATTATCATCCTTCGAGGAAGAACACCAGGGCTAGAATTAGGTTCTGCTACATGTATTTCCTAAATGTGACCTGAGTTTAAAGCTCTTTCTTTTTTGTCTTTCCTATCCACATCTCCATTTTCACAGAGAGCTCTCCAAGATCCCAACGTAGCAGCTTTCATGGTGGAACCAATTCAAGGTGAAGCAGGTGTGGTTGTTCCTGACAAAGGTTATCTGACAGGAGTGAGGGACCTCTGCACAAAACACAATGTAAGGAATTCATCGTGAGAAGGAGCCTTAAGCATTACACGCTGTGTTTGATAATTTCCTTTTCTTTCAGTGGAATAGTGCAGGACACTTCTTGTATTTCCTGGCAGTACCTCTGCAGAAAGTACTTGTCAGCAGTGCACATTCTTCACTAGTTCTTCCTGCCATCACTGATTTAAGTTGCTAATGAAAGTTCTTGAGCTGCATTTATTTTAAATTAATTTTTAATTTCTTCTTCACATTGTAAGTTTCTTGGGTCCAAAGCCAATTACTGCAGTGGTGCTACCATAGCTGTCAGGGGCCCTTGTTGCTGGAGTGCTACCAAGAACTAGCAACACTAGTGGGTCACAGAATGAAACACTGAAGAAAATGGTCATTATTGGTCCCTGTTTTAAAGCATCAGTGGTTTCTGTTCCAATAGAATTCAGATTCTTAATTTGCAAGTGCAGAATTCCTTCTATATTGACATATTATTAGTAAAATTGTCTTCATTATTGCTGTGATACCTCAAAAAAAAAAGAGCTTAATTGTTTGAATTGAGTCAGGAGTGGAAGACAATCTGTTCTACGTGGATGTATCTTTTTTGTCTCTCTGCAGGTTCTGTTTATTGCTGATGAAATACAAACTGGTTTAGCCAGAACAGGGAGAATGTTAGCTGTTGACCATGAAAATGTGAGACCTGATATAGTTCTGCTTGGAAAGGCCCTTTCTGGTGGCTTATACCCTGTGAGTAACAAAGACATGTCAGTAATCTGCAGTAACATCCTATTATTCAAATATTTGTTGAGTAATGATTTTTCAGTAGTTAACACGGAAAATCTCCCAGTTGAAAGAAATGTGATGCCTGTGGTGCTTGGAAATTGGTGTGTACAAGATTAGCTATGATTTATGACCATATAGTCCAAGCTGTGAGAGACACATAATAAAATAGTACCTAAAGCAGTGTGGGCAGCAGGTCAAAAGAGGTGATTCTCCCCTTTTGCTCTGCTCTGGTGAGACCCACCTGGAATACTGCACACAGTTCTGGTGTCCTCAGCATAAGAAGGACGTGGAACTATTGGAGCAAGTCCAGAGGAGGCCACAAAGTTGATAAGAAGACTGGAGCATCTCCCCTATGAGGACAGGCTAAGGGAGTTGGGGCTATTCAGCCTAGAGAAGAGAAGGTTGTGTAGAGACCTCAGAGCAACTTTTCAATATCTGAAGGACCTACAAGGAGCTGGAGAGGGACTCTGTGTTAGGAACTGCAGTGATAGGACAAGGGGTAATGGGTTCAAAGTGCAGGAGGGGAAGTTTAGGTTAGATATTAGGAAGAAGTTTTTTACTCTGAGGGTGGTGAGACACTGGCACAGGTTGCCCAGGGATGTGGTTGCTCCGACCCTGGCAGTGTTCAAGGCCAGGCTGGATGAGCTTTGAGCAACCTGATCTAGTGAGGAGGTGTCCCTGCCCAGGGCAGGGGTTGGGACTAGATGATCTGTAAGGTTCATTCCAACCCTTAAATTCTATGATTCTAATACTACCTTTATAGCTGAAATGGCTGTTTTCCTGTCAGGAAAATAAGTGTCCAGGGATCAGCTTTCCATTCTGGAATTCCTGCTTAGTCTTTGCTCTCTCTGGAGAGCAGTTTGTCACAATCTTCCTGTGATTAATTTCTAGCTGAATTATGGAAAGGCTAAAAAAAAATACTGATATATGTTAAAACACCCATTATAAAGCTATTTTGGAGCAACTGGCATTAATTCACTTGTTTGGCATGTCTGCCTGACTGATTTTATCCTCTTGGAGTGACTAAAATTC